CTGAAAATAAATAAATAAATAAAATTAGTATATGGATTCGGTAGTGGTCTCTTCCCCCCCCCCTCTCTCTCTCTCTCTCTCTCTCTCTCTCTCTCTCTCTCTCTCTCTCTCTCTCTCTCTCTCTCTCTCTCTCACACACACACACACACACACACACACACACACACACACACACACACACACACACACACACACACACACACACACACACACACACACTCATACTCGCACACAATTAAAATCTAAATATACACCACCCACCAACCCGCCCACGAACCCAAATTCACCATTCACCTATAAAAGTAAAGAACAAGAAAAACGACACCAATCAACAACAACAACAAAAAAATCCAACCCGATGCCATGGCCACCTCGCCGACGAAAAGAAAACACAAATCACAGACTAATATCGCACCGACAGACAATAACTTTTCCTTTAGTCCCCCCCTCTCAATATCACATGCTCTCCTCCCCCGACAATTGCCGTGATAAAACACGCGGAAGTAAGCCGTCACAGGGATAACTATATTATTATTACCATTATCTAAAATCAAGGGGGTGTAACTCTCAATTGCTAGCTGTTGCACGGTATCAATCCCTCACTTCGGAGGTTCCGGAAAGGGCTGTTGAGTGGCCGATATTGCTCGTTGAGGAAATTATCAAAAGGCATAATCAAGACACGAGAGAGTGAACGCAAAAATCAAGTTTCCTTTTTCGAGGGAAGGAAGGTGAGGGAGGGAGAGGAGAAGAAAAACGGGAGAGAGAGAGAGAAGGAGATAAACGGAAGGGAGAGAGAGTAGGAGGAGATAAAGGGGAGGGAGGGAAAAGAGGAAACACGGAAGGGAGAGAGAAGGAGAAGAGCGGGAGAGAGAGAGAAAAGGCGAAAAGCAGGATAAGCGAGGGGAGAGAGGGAGAGAGAAGGGGGTGGCGAGGGGGGAAAGAGGTAAAGAACAAGGGAAGGGGAGGAAGTAGGGGAGTGAGGGTCAGGGAAACGGGGGGAGGGGGAGATATGCGAAGGAGTATTGAGGAAAGAGAAGAGGAGAGTAAGAAAAGTAGAAAGTGAGAGAAGAGAGGGAAAGAGGGATATATGAGGGAGGAGGAAGAGGAACAGACAATAGGGACGAGGGAGAAAAGGTGAGAAAGGATGAGAGGGGAAGAGGAATGATAGGAAACAAAAAATGGGAGGAGATGAAGAGGAAGCATGATTGAAATATGGAGAAGAAGGAGAGGAAGAAAGAGGAGGAAATGGAGGAAGAGAGGGGGAGCGGAGGGAGGGAGGGAGGGAGGAGAGGGTGAGAAGCGAAAGGAAAAGGAAACAAAATAATAATAAAAGAATAGAAGAGAACAAACAAAACGAAACTAAACGAAACGAGAGAGAAAGACAAACTGATTTAGGGAACAAGAGAAAGATTTAGACGTGAATAAAGGATGATTCTACAGGAAAAATAAAATAATAATGGATGCACTTTGGGAGAGAGAAATAAGGAGAAGAGAAGAGAAGAGAAGAGAAGAGAAGAGAAGAGAAGAGAAGAGAAGAGAAGAGAAGAGAAGAGAAGAGAAGAGAGAGAGAGAGAGGAGAGAGAGAGAGAGGAGAGAGAGAGAGAGGAGAGAGAGAGAGAGAGGAGAGAGAGAGAGAGAGAGAAGGAGATAAACGGAAGGGAGAGAGAAGGAGAAGAGCGGGAGAGAGAGAGAGAAGGAGAAGAGCGGGAGAGAGAGAGAGAGAAGGAGATAAACGGAAGGGAGAGAGAAGGAGAAGAGCGGGAGAGAGAGAGAGAGAAGGAGATAAACGGAAGGGAGAGAGAAGGAGAAGAGCGGGAGAGAGAGAGAAGGAGATAAACGGAAGGGAGAGAGAAGGAGAAGAGCGGGAGAGAGAGAGAGAGAGAGGAGAGAGAGAGAGAGAGAGAGAGAAGGAGATAAACGGAAGGGAGAGAGAAGGAGAAGAGCGGGAGAGAGAGAGAGAGGAGAGAGAGAGAGAGAGAGCGAGAGAGAGAGAGAGAGAGGAGAGAGAGAGAGAGAGGAGAGAGAGAGAGAGAGAGAGCGAGAGAGAGAGAGAGAGAGGAGAGAGAGAGAGAGAGGAGAGAGAGAGAGAGAGGAGAGAGAGAGAGAGAGAGAGAGAAGGAGATAAACGGAAGGGAGAGAGAAGGAGAAGAGCGGGAGAGAGAGAGAGAGAGAGAGAGAGAGAGAAGGAGATAAACGGAAGGGAGAGAGAAGGAGAAGAGCGGGAGAGAGAGAGAGAGAGCGAGAGAGAGAGAGAGAGAGAGAGCGAGAGAGAGAGAGAGAGAGAGAGAGAGAGAGAGAGAGAAGGAGATAAACGGAAGGGAGAGAGAAGGAGAAGAGCGGGAGAGAGAGAGAGAGAGAGAGAAGGAGATAAACGGAAGGGAGAGAGAAGGAGAAGAGCGGGAGAGAGAGAGAGAGAGGAGAGAGAGAGAGAGGAGAGAGAGAGAGAGAGAGAGAGAGGAGAGAGAGAGAGAGAGAGAGAGAGAGAGAGAGAGAGAGAGAGAGGAGAGAGAGAGAGAGGAGAGAGCGAGAGAGAGAGAGAGCGAGAGAGCGAGAGAGAGAGAGAGAGAGAGAGAGAGAGAGAGAGAGAGAGAGAGAGAGAGAGAGAGAGAGAGAGAGAGAGAGAGAGAGAGGAGAGAGAGGAGAGAGAGAGAGAGAGGGGGGGGGAGTGAAAGGGAGAGAGGGAGGGAAGGGGGAGAGAGGGAGAGAGGGGGAGAGAGGGGGCAGGGAGGGAGGGGAGGGGAGGGAGGGAGAGGGAGAGTGAGAGTGAGAGTGAGAGAGAGAGAGAGAGAGAGAGAGAGAGAGAGAGAGAGAGAGAGAGAGACTGGAGAGAGAGACGAGAGAGAGAGAGAGAGAGAGAGGAGAAATGAGAAAGGGAGGGAGGGAGTGAAAGGAATGGATGGATGGAAGGAGGGAAAGAGAAAGAGAGAGAGGGAAAAGGAAGGAGGGAAGGAGGGAGAGGGAGGGATGGGGAGGGAGGAATGGGGAGGGAGAGAGAAAGGAAGGAAGGGAGGGAGGGAAAGGGAGAGTGGGAGAGGGGGAGGGAGAAGAAGATAGATAGAAAGATAGATAAAGAGAGAGAAAAACTAGGGAGAGGGAGAGGGGGATGGACTGTGGACACGGTTACTACGTCACGACATATAAAGACGAAACGGAAGAGAGACAAAAATACGAAAGACGATTAACCGGAGCTTTGAAAGCGTCCCACAAAGGAGTTGCGGTGTGTTATTTGGTGCAGTGGCCGGGCTGCAGGTTCAGATAGTGTGTCAACTGCCGTGCGCTCCCTCGACCCAGAGGCGCGAAGGGCGGAGGTCCTCCCTCACCCCCTCTCTCTCTCTCCCTCTTTCGCCCCACCCAACCACCATCCTTCCCCTCCCCCTCTCCCACCCCTCCCCCTCTTAACCCCACCATCACTACCCTCCAGCGCACCCATGCCCCCCCCCCCCATCTTCCCAGGACCCACCCCGGCCCGCCCGCTGCACCGTGTATACCACACCGACCCCAAGGAGAGTCTGGCCATTCCTCGCGTCCCTCCTTCGCCTTCCTCGTGTTCGGTGTCCTCGCCGCCTCCCCAGACGACACGAACACGGCCGCCCTTTAAACCCCCGCATCCTTGGAGACCATGCCTGGCTGCTCTCGTGGCGATGGGAGGACAGTGACCACCTCTCACAGCCAGCAAGGACTCGGATGCTGGGCCGTAGCGGTGTCTGGCATCCTCCGGCGGGGAGACACACGTCCCACGTCTCCGGGGGCTTTCGGCGACGTCCCTCAGCCCTTTCGTGGAGGATGATCGAATCGATGACGGATTTCTCGGTTACTCGTTCTAATCTTCCGATGCCCGAGCCCCCACCTGTGTCGGGGACGCCAGACGGCTGCAAAATCATGCTGCTCCAGTAAAGGTTCAATAGTGACCGCTGGCAACTCGACCCACGGACCCCATCTCCCTCCACTCACGACGAACATCTTTCATTTGGTCCTTTCCCGAGTATGTTAGACGGGAATTTCCGTTCTCAGAATGCCAAAATTAGCTTCCAGGCCAATGTTTACTTCTCTCTGGCTCGCAAAAAGGAGTGTGTGGGAAGAAAGAGTGAAAAATTCCCACGCTAACCCATATTTTCCCAGGACTTTCAACCCGCGCTGAATGAGGCCGCCCGCCCTGCCCTCTAGCGGATGCTTTGCTAATTTCATATCCTATTTCCTCTGATTTTACCCTTATTACGGCCATTCCCGAGGAATTCCTACAGCTTGACATGGCGTTACACCTCCATGCAGCCTTAACGAGTCATACTCACCACCTCAGATGCTCCTCGGCCGAGAAAAATGCGAAATTCCCACCACGAAGTCCCGCGTTCTCACGGGAAGTTTGAAAACTTTTTGTTTACGCTCAGGTCTCGGGCAGCCTCTCACTAGATAATTTTCTCCACAGAGCTCTTTGATTCACTTACCAGCTCCTTTAAGCACACGACAGTACAAACAGAACACACACATATGATTTCTACACCCAACACACCACTCGCTAGTCACTTGAACGATATATCCCGGGTTTACGGCCGTGCTGACTGACAGACACGGCAACGATGGGGCTCACTGAGTGCGTTCCATGTGTTGGGTACGGTGGGTGGAGGGGAGGGAGGGTAGGGGACCGCGAGGAGACGGGGGTAGGGTGGGCGGGAGAGAGGGGGGAGGGGAGAGGGTCACCCGCTACTGTTGACATTCGTGCGACTCGTATTTGTGATTTTGACGAAGTTTGTTAACTTTACGCATTGCCATACTGGAATTTGTGCTCATTATCTAAGTTCAATGCGGCATAATCAGCACTTAATTGATGAATGTGTAACACAATAAAATTATCCTAAGTTATGGTCTCGTCGCTCAGTTGGGCGCTGGGCATCTGCTCTGAGGTTGGAGTGTCCCGATGCGTAAACGCTGGCCGTGGCTTCGACTTCATCAGATCCCCTGCATGTTTCCTTCCCCAAATGCAAGTTCTCGTGCCACTAGCTTGA